CCCGGACAGGCTTTAGCAGACGGGAGTCGGGGGGAACCCGGGCCCTTCCCGACGGCAGAACCCTTAGCGCTGGCCTGCCCAGGGCTGCGCGGATGGGAATGCCGTCTGGGGACATCCCCAAGCCCGGCTGCCCGTGTGAGCGTCGCACCTTCCCGAGACAACGCCTCTGGCTTCTTTGTTTAAATGCTAAAGTTGCGTTTTATGATTTTCTGCGTGTTAAATTTGAGACTCTTAACAAATTACCTTGACAGGTCACCTGTGTAACTAGATGGATTAGGGCTATTTATGGCCTTGCCGTTTATAGCTCTGGTGAGTTTATCTATAAATGAGGCTTCAGTCTGAGTTCGAAAGGGCAGTGGGTTTTGGTTGGGTTGGTTTTTTTTTTTTTTTCTCCTAAAACCAGAGATAATCATGAAGTTTATGGTGGCATATTTATTGAACTGCTGGGGACTGGCATCTCATGAATAGCTCATAAAGTTGTATTACTGTCTGTACATTAGCACTCTTACTCTAATAGGAACTCCTAAATGCCTTTTCCTCGGTTTGTATTGTGTTTTGATTAACACTAGAACCGCATCCCATTATACAGGTTTTCATGGGAAAAATAACCCTGTTAATTGGCAGGAGATTAAAAGGTAACTCATTAATAAGAAATGTGACAATTTACTAATTTCCCTGCAATCCCCAGTGCCCATATTAAAGGGACAGACACAGCCATATTCACCATGATCAGTTTTATTGCTTGAGAACCAGAGTACTCATTTCTAAAGGCCTTCGAAGTTATCATGAGTTGAGTTCGCTTAAATAGAAGTACTGTGTGGTTATAATGCAACATGGCACAACGACAATACAGAGCTGCAGACACCCTTTGGGCAACAGTACTTAATATAAACCCAGATTGTACTGTTGAGAAAACATTCTGCAAGCGGACATCAAAAAATTTTCAATGGTAGTGATTTATACCGAAATCAAGCATCAATCTAATGCCATCACACAGTCCATGAACTCTGTAGTGTTCTAAATTAAATCAATAAAACATACATTTGTGTTTCATCAACAGACTCCCTAATCACCTTTTAATGTTGTATTTAGTGGTGGGAGAAAAATGTTCGTAACAAGATTATATTGTAGGCTGCACTGAGCTACTAACCAGGAAAATTTACAGTCTTTTTTTTTTTTTCCCTCAACACTGTATAAATACAGTCTGTGTCCAATACAGTTGCTACCTGAAGCAGACTATTATTTTCTTCTCCCATGTTGTTATTGTTTCAATATAGAATACTTGGCACCATAAAACAGTAACAAAAGACGGACAAAAACAGTTTACAAAATTCTGGAAAGTTACACCCAAACCTAGCTAAGAACTTCACATTCAATCCTTAATATTACATAGAAAGAAGGGATAATAGGAGTAACAAAGTGAAACTACTAATATATGTGCTATATAGTATGCTATATATCTGTATCCAGGATGGCACTGCTATATATTATTTATTATATAAATGTTGGTTGTTGATGTACACTAAACCTGCTAAGACTCCAACACTAACTGCTGATATGGCACTCTCAAGCATTCATATTGGAAAGTATATTTAGCGTAAGTTTTGGTCAGGTTTATAAATTATTTATATATCTGTGTATATATACACATACATACATATATACACACATATATATGTATGTATAGAAAGCAGCTGCTGTGTGATTCAAAAACCATGTAACATGGCAGTATAGTAAATAACATGAGAAAAAAAATTATAAAAATGAAAAACAAAATACTAAAACTAAAACACAAACCATAAGCCTTGGTCAACAAAGAAAATAACCATTTAAAACCATCAATATCTCTATCTATACAATCCAATGTACAAAACCCCAAAGTGGTAAAGATTTATAATGTTAGGCATGACACCTTTAAAAGTTTATAATATGCTGAAATAGCTTTTCCACATTGACAAACACTTATTAAAAGTTGAAAGTTGTGAAATCTAAAATACATAACATCTCTGCCGTCTATTTAGAGTTTTGGCAACAGAATTGTGACATATATATAAAAAATAATTCCACATTTCTACTTGATGTCACATGAACATACAAGACAGTGAGGTATGTGAGGCTTTTCTCGAACAGAGTCCAGATGCTGAAGCATAGTGTACGATCAGCAGTCTAAAAATGTGGCACTCGGGACTTGATTTATCAATACAGTTGTTACGATTATGTATTTCAGTATACTGTGTATTCCTTCCTCTCCTTGCTACAGTGTGGTTTCACGGAAAATCTTCTCATTTCGTAGGCATCTTTTTCCTGTTGCAGAATTGGCATTTTTTTAAAAAGAAAAATAAACACAGGGGAAATGATGTAGAAAATATAAACGTAAAGGGAAAAAATGATATTTACCACCACATCACTGCACGACACAACACTTGTGCACATTTGCAATAGGTTTACCTGCCCCAGCAGCTATTCGAAAGGACAGGAACACAGGCTGCAGCAAGTTAGGGAAAAATAGAAGTTACACATTTGAAATATAAACATTTTTTTTACAGTCAGTAGTAAACACAACAAAAATTCCTCTACGACTGGAAACAAAACGTTGCAATAATTTTTTTTTATTAACTACAAAATGCACAAGAGAACTACATCATCTGCTTACAGATCTCTGCACCCACTGAAATCTAAGGGAAAATTTGCCACCGATTTCTGTGGGAAGAGGATTGGGTCCCGTGCACAACTCCCTGCACAGAATTAGCTCCACTGCAGTGCCATGCTAAAAAAACTCACGTTAAGTACACTGGTGACAAAGGAAACAAAAATTACTGTTTCTGAACTGGCTGTCCTTCAGCTGCTGACACAGTGAACTTTTCATTTTACTGGAGAAGTTAGTAAACTTCTGTATTTTAAAATCTGACTAGAATGATTCTGGACCACGTATATTAAGTGCATTCTTCCTCAGAAAAACAATACTCTGTCTCACAAGAACTCTGACCATGCAAGTAAATATAGGTTATATATTTGTGAATTTGGATTTATGTGTATACATGCATACGTGCATGCATTTACTCATTATCCATCACCTAATTATCATTCAACAGCCTTAGCACTGTCTCTAGGACCGATACATTACCATTGGTGTACAGGTTACAAGTTTTTGCAAGTTTCTAGTTGACTTTTCAGATAGGTTTTATATAGTTTTTATAAAGGCTTTCAGAGGTCACTTCCTACTCCTCAATCAGCTTTTTTTCAAAGAAAGCAAATCTCAGTTTTGCTGTATTTCTAAATTAGCTTTCCATCTGGTATCTTCAGCAGAGAACATTGTTTATAAAATTAATGTCTTTTTCTTCTAACAACTGGTGTTTATGTAATTCTATATCCTTTTTCTCATTTGTTGCTTAAATACAGAACTGCCGATACATTATTTTACTAATACGCACCTAGGCACCAAATTACTTAAAATTATGTTTTGGAAGCAATTTTGATAACTCAGTGAAATACTTTTGTTTTACAAGAACAGTTGTAAGTGCACAGGCAGTTGCTCCTCTTCATTTTGTGTTGTATCACGCTTTCCCTCCAGCACACATCATCCTGTTCTTTATTTGCTTCCATGCAAGTATCTAATATACCGGCTGATTTCAGCTGAATTCAACTTTAACACATTTTTGAGGCTTTAAATTAAAAATAGGACAGAGATATACTTGACTTAAATATAAATTAACAGAAAGTAGTACGTACATTCTCATTCCTAATAAAAAAGACTTAGAAGATACAATACTAAAATGTTTAATTACCTTGTGATCCCCCATGCAGACATTTGGCCCAATGTGGTCATATATTACTATCTTCTCATCGTTTTCTGACTAGTTAAAAAAAGCAAACCACGACAAAACACTAGTCAGTTCAAGTATTTTCCAGATGACAGAAACAGAAAGAAATGTGGAAATAATTTATGCAAATAGTTCAAACCAGTTTCTGAATGAAATAATATTAACACATCTTTGCTTCTCTTCTCCAGAGAAAGACCATGTAGGATGAACTTTCGTGGCCAGTACTGCTTGCAGTAATTCGTGCAATTCTTCCATGTAAAATAACTCATGGAATCACTGCATCTACTCCTTGGTTCTGGGACTTCAAGAAATTTTAGCAAGTAACACTTGGACAGAGAAAATGAGTGGCTCCATTCTGATTGCGTTCTAGCCCTTTGCCAGTGAAATGCAGCCAGCACATTTGGCCAGTCCTTTTTTTTAACACCACCACGCAATTTTTACTGAATTAGGTGGGCTATATGTTCTTCCATCCACATTGCCTTAAAAGAGCATTTGATTTCATGGTATAGGTGATTTTAGAAGTTCAGAGAGATGAATTAATTATTTACAATTTATGAGTATAATCTTTAACCATTTCTATGAGATACATTTCTTCATCTGAAAAAAAGCATTAAGTGATTTTAAGATAATCAGCAGCAAATGGAAGGTGACGTTCCTCCAGTCTCCATTATGAATTGCTTTCATTTTGTTCTATGTTGAACTTTATCTTTATACACTGACTTCCTCAGCATTTGTAGCTTAATGAATAATAAAATGTACTCATCGTTCTGCCATTTGCAATAAACGTGATTTTCAGAATCTGGTTTGATTCTCTAGCACAGTACTTCAGGAATAAATACAAATACATTGCCGTACAAGACAATTTCTTATTATGTTAAACGATTCCTATAAGCTAATTAAATCTGCAATCTGCACACTCTCAAGTCTCTAATACAATCACAGTTGTGCTTTAAACTAGTTGGCAATACTAATTTATTTTGTATGAAACAGTCAAGACTTTCTCATCTGTAATCAGTCAAGTTTGACTGCACAATAACTTTATATAAACAGTAGCATTTAGGACTGTAAAGTTAAAACTGAATTATCTTTAATGCAGTAAGGAAGCTTAAGGTCAGATTTACTTTATAGCACGGTTGTCTGCCAAAAATATAAAAACATAACCTTCTGCATTGTATGCATGAGCACTTTCCAATATTTCAAGATCATAATGCCACTAACATCGGAAGTGGGGATACATTCATCAAAAGCGACTTGATAATTTACAAAGGCAGCATAAAATTGTGGATTTTCAACTGCATAATCTTTAGACAGATAAACAAATTACAGCGGTGCACAAGCAGAAACAATATACACTTGGCTGAGCATTCATTACTTCATGCTATCAGGCATCAACGCAACTCCCTAGCAGTGGGCAACCTTTGGTGTTTTAGGGCTCAGGAAGCATAAAATAACATGATGGTGAGGTAACCGACCATAGCATGATAGATGATGTTGCATGAAAGCTGTTTACAGCCCCATGTCTGTACAATCTGTAATGCCTACTGTGTAGCTGAACGCACTGTACAGGGTGGCAATTTGTGCATACTATCCTTTCTTTACATAGGAGTAAAATGCAGATTTACTCAATTTTTGTTTGAAATAAAATATAGAATTGCTAAGACAGAAAAATAAATTCTTTATTTGCCTATAAGAAAAATTAATGCAGCAGAATAATTACCTGCATAAGAATTTTCAATAGCCAGTTACAACCAAAAATTCTTCTAAAATTCATATACATTTCCATTTTAGACATCTGTTACAGTGTAATCGGTTAATTTAAATTTGCTTTTACTGTCCTCACAGTTCCTTTTAAAGCTTTGAAGTGTAAGTCTCTGCAATGGAATAAATTCTCAACAGCAAGGCAAACACTGCTTACTGTGTAGAACCACAAATCTTGTAAGGTCATTTTGCCCTTTTCTCTATCAGTTCAGCATTCTTTTCTATTGAATATTTTAATTAAGTTTTATGGGCCAGAATTACAGTTTGGTTTTGAACTGAATAAGCTAACTCCTTTATTGGTACAGACTCACTGAGTTAAACCACCATGCCAGTCTGGCCTCATCTACAGCTGTAATTTTGCATACGCATTTCTGGAGATGTCCCAAACTGCATGGTCATAATTTGCAAATGCAAAGCTGCAGAGACAAAATGATATGCAGTTTTTAAATGTAAGCTTTGAATGATCCGACTGACTGGGTTTCTGTTGCATGAGGACTAAGTGTTGGGCTAAGTGGCCTCACAGTTACAAATTTCTTTAATGCTCTAACTTTGTTGTCCTTTGTTTAATTTTCTCCCATTATATCCAAGTTATACCCCCCTAGATAATCTGAAAGAATTCCTTTCCCTCTGTACTGTTTACACTCTTCAAGCCTTTGTGTACACTTCTATCTCCTTATTCATAGCTTAAAAAAAAAAATTCTTC